ATGCACAACATGAAGTTAATACATGTATTTGGCTCGTTTGACAAAACGAGAGCATGGAAAGTTACTGAACGCGGGTGTTTCAACTCAGCGTTCCTACATAATCGATCCTAATACAAAAACTAGAAAATTTGCCTGTTCAGTCATTATGCTACATTAATCTATACATTGGTACAAGCAAAATAATATACATGTTGGCCTTATTTCGACCATAATATTGTTTACATACCTTAAAATATACAGAAGAAATTGGCAGGTAACAAACGTTTATAAGCAGTCGACATAAAGACAAGAGTGCGCGCTGCAATCTGATTGGCCTATTCCTCCAAGCGTGGTTTAGAGCGAGCATAATCATAATAATAGAGTTGCTTCCCTTAGACCGTAAATCTCAAATACGCACCTTTTACCACAATCTTACACAAGTTATGGCATTCGTAACTCGTGGTAGTGGCTATAAAAAGGCAAGCATAAGCCAATAATTTGTCATTTAATTGTCAACATTTTTCAAGTTCGAAAATGACGAGACTCAGCGCTGCCGATCGGAACATCGCTAAAGGACGTATACAAAGAGGGGAATTGCAGTTTTCTGTTGCACGCCACTTCAACGTCCACCACAGCACCATTTGCCGCCTTTGGGAGCGATACACACAGTTCAATTCCACTGCAGACCGTCCAAAAACCGGCCGACCAAGAGTTACCACCCCTGCACATGATCACTACATTCGACTGTTCCACCTTCGTCATCGCAATGCCACAGCAACGCAGACTGGAGGAAGCATCCCTGGTTTGAGGAGGATATCGGACCAGACTGTCAGGAACCATCTTCGCGAGGCTGGCATCCGACCCAGAAGACCAGTTATCGTCACTGTTTTGCAACAGATCCAACGACAGCGACGCTTGCGTTGGTGCCATACCTTACAGCCTTCAATTTGGGAAACTGGAGACGAGTGTGGTTAAGCGATGAATCACGATTTCTTCTTCACCGGCGAGATGGAAGACAACGTGTTTATCGTCGTCGAAATGAGAGTTTTGCCCCACATTGTGTACGTGAATTCGACAAATTCGGTGGCGGTAGGGTCATGGTGTGGGGGGCCATATCCTACACCACGAGACTACTTGGTTGTGGTTCAGGGAAATTTGACAGCAAATCGCTACATGAATCAAAATTTTCAACCTCACCTTTTTCCAATCACTCACCACTAGAGGGAGCTGTTTCAACAGGACAACGCTCCACCGCACAAAGCTCGTGTCACATCTTCCCGAGGCATGTGAGTTTACTGACTATAAAAGTCCAGTTTCCACCCTTGCCGAACTAGGCTGGTATTATGGAGTTAGATTTTGGCTGGCCTAACGAGTCCATGCATAGTCCAATCAACATCGCGCACCGAAATCGAAATCCGGATCGTAAACCGTCGTGCAGATTTCGGTCGATTGCAGGATTTACAAAGCATGTGCACCGCCAGCTCGTTGTCAAAGGATAATTTTTCAAATCTTTTCATGTTTTTAATCAAGGTGCTCGCTGTAATTTAATGCACTTTACGGTGTAAGACCCGTTTTATCACAACATAGGTCTTGATTATCGTGCAGATCGTCTTGACTGGGCTCCGCTATTTTGTTTGAAGCAAATATAAGTGATATGAGAGGTGAATCTGATTGGTCCAGAGGAGAGGCATAGAAGGGACATAACTCGTAATAGCCACTGGTGGCGCTACGATCGAGCCCAAGAATTCAAGCCTAGTTCGGCAAGGGTGGAAACTGGACTTTTGTAGTCAGTTAACTCTATAGCCTCAGGAAGATGCTCGGAACAATGCCAACATCAACGTTTTGCCCTGGCCGTCGAGATCTCCAGATTTCAACCCAATCGAACACCTCTGGGATGAACTCGATCGATGTGTACGTCAACGTCAGAACACGCCGTGTACACTCCCATAACTGGCCAATGCGTTAAAAGAAGAATGGCGCAGAATTCCGCAGGACAGAATTCGTACTTATCCAGTCAATGCCGAGGAGATGCAGAGCCGTGATTGCTGCCCGGGGCGGTCACACGAGATACTGACTTCAGTCTAACCTTGTGGCCTCATGTGACATGACAATGAAGAGTTTTCGATGCCTTTGTACAAAGACAAAATGTGACTATCGAGCTCCAAATTTCATATTTGTATCTATGATATTAAATTAAATATATCGACTTTATTAGGCATAATAAATTTACTAAATATTTACATGTGCGTTTCTTTTTTTGAAATGTGTATTCGGAAGTGAGCCTATACATTCGCCTCTCAATCCACACGAAGAATTGTAAACGCTGGTATCAAAGCCCATAAACAATTTACGTAATATGGATAAAAATGAGGAATATTCGAATCGTTAGTAAAATGAGATGGCAGCGGTGGATTTTCAATAAATGGTAAAATGTACTAAGTATGCTTTCGTGTGCTATTTCTCTTAGTGGATCTCTTACTTTGCTTGTCGGTTTAATAGTTCTAAATTTACCCAGTATGACAATCACATGATGGCGACAATTGTAACATGGTAGAGGCAAATTATGACACCACAGTTTGAAGCTATTTATATAAGGTTATACGGTAAAAGCCACAGCTCTCGTGGAAACTGTACTGTGAAGCATTGCAAGCGTTTATGCGTCAACAGCGGGGACACGTTCTCACGACACTAATTTAACCTCTCTTCACCTTGACAAGCCGGACTAATATAATGTGCCTTTTTTTTGTCTTGTTTTGTCATTTACCAGTAGTTTTTGCAACGTTGCTTGATGGAGGTGTAATCAATTGTTACAACCGCCATGTAGCAAATATGGCTTACACTCCTCCTGCGATACCTATTTGTATTTGTTTGATATCATATCATGCAAATTGTTGTTCTTTGTAATTGTCAACATCAGTCGAAAATGTAATGTTGAGTTGCTAAAAGCGGCGTAAAACCATACTCACTCACTCACTCACTCAGTTTTCCAAGTGAATGAGTATGGTTTTACGCCGCTTTTAGCAATATTCCAGCAATATCGCGGCGGGGGACACCAGAAATGGGCTTCACACATAGTACCCATGTCGGGAATCGAACCCGGGTCTTCGGCATGACGAGCGACGCTTTAACCAGTGGGCTACCCAACCGCCCCCAGTTTTCCAAGAACTGGTATAAGAAGTGTGAGAACTGGTCTTCAGATACCAATGCTTGTTGTAAGAGGCGACTAACGGGATCGGGAGCATGGTCAGACTCGGTGACTTGGTTGCTGCATGTCATCGTATCCCAATTGCAATGATCGATGCTCATGATGTCAATCACTGGATTTACTCGATTATTTACAGACCGCCGTCATATAACTGGTACAGTGCCTTTTGTGGCGTTAAACAACAAACATAATGTTTTTTGTTCCTTGGACATGGATCTTGACAGGACCATTTCTCATAGCGTCAACTGCAGAATAATGAAATCTGCCCCGACGATATTACCCGGAATAGAATCACTCTGGCTCAGTGTAGGTTTAGCTATAAGAAAGTTTGTTTGTTTGTTTGTTTGTTTGTTGTGTAACGGCGCACTTAGCAATATTCCAGCAACATGGCGGCGGTCTGTAAATAATCGAGTCTGGACCAGACAATCCAGTGATTAACATCATGAGCATCGATCCATGCAAGTGCGATACGATGGCATGCATCAACCAAGTCAGCGAGCCTGACCATGCTCCCGATCCCGTTAGTCGCCTCTTACGACAAGCATAGCAGTCGCCTTGTACGACAAGCATGGGTTGCTGAAGACCTATTCACAGGTCAGCTATAAGAATAATAAGGTTGAATAAATATGTACGTTTAACTGATCATGCATGTAAAGTGTGCTTGTCATTTGAACTAGTTTAAGCGCATTTAAGAAATCCACAGTTCACGGGATGGTTATATGATTACAGACGGTCCACACCGCCTCCGTGGTCTAGTGGTAGAGCGTCCGCCCGGAGAGCGGAAGGTCCTGGGTTCGATCCCCGGCCGCGTCATACCAAAAAACGTTAAAAGATGGTACTTGTTGTTACCCCGTCTGGCGCTCGGCATTAAGGGGCTAAAACAAGAACTGGTCGGCTCGGAGTCAGCATACTGTGTCTGAGTGGGGTATTCATGTAAAATTGCGGCATAGTGGCATCTCAGTGAGTTAGGACTATAAATCGGCATCAGTCCGGACTAGTACAAGCAGCCACACACACACACACACACACACACACACACATTCACACACACACACACACACACACACACACACGTGCATGCACGTCGCTAAATAAGTGCAATAATGTTGGACGCGACGTTAAACCCCATTTCACCTCACCTCACAGATGTTACAAATAACATGCCGGGCTGTCTCAAATTTGTTGAGATTTGACAAAATGACTTGTTGCTATTGATATCTAAGTGAGGAAGCACAATAAAGACAGCTGTAGTTGTTTTATTAGTGACGAGGACAAGAATACCATGTTATGTACACGTACAATGATACAACTGGACCGTAATTATACCATCACCATCTTGGTCCCCTTCACAATGTACAGTAAACTTCGGTTATAACGAACTCAAAGGGACCACTAATTTTAATTCGTTATAACCGTTGTTCGTTATAAGCAAATGTACGGAATATATACACCGAATGAACAGTATCAAAATATTTCGTTATATCCGTTAGTTCGTTTTAAGCGTGTTCGTTATAAACGTAGTTTACTGTACATATATAGTAACTTTATTTGGCAGCAACTACAAGGACTGTGATGGGGAATAAATAGAGGCAGTATAAGTAACTGTCCGGAATGAGATGGACAGATCAACACGAACGTATCCTAGTAATGTGGCACCCATGTCACAGTTAAATTGTCAACAGTGTAAGTCAGTATTTGGTACAGTTTGGGAGGGTGGAGTTACCACCCTCCGAAGCCCACAACTAACCCCCCCCCTCCCCCCCGCCCCCTGACCCGTGAAAATCCCGGGTAGACTCTATTATTTACAGACCACCGTCATATATCTGGAGTGCGGCGTCAAACAACAAACAAACAATCAAACAAATAAACAAACACTTGCCCATCTCTCCAGCGAGGCCCCACCACCTTCCACAGCCAGGTTCTCTCCCAACCCCAGCCCACTTTCCCCCAGTTAGTTTCCCCACACTTTCTCCCGCTCCTGTCTGGACATGTTTCTTTCTCGGAGGAGCCTCCTGAGTATCTTGCCGCTGGGGTTCCGGGGGATGTTGTCGATGAACTCAACACCCCCCCGTATCTGCCTGTACGGTGCCACGTGATCTAGAACAGACGTAACATACATGCATAAACAACAATCACGCACAAAACATATAACTGGCGCAATACATTCTGGTTCACCTGCACAAGATGAGACCTTGGCACAGAATGCAAGGAACAACTCACTCACCTGCCACAAGGTCAGTGAGCTCCTTTTCAGTGACGCTCGGCTTGGCAACTACGAACGCTCGTGGCACTTCTCCGACGTCGGCTGTTGGTATTCCCACTACTGCTGCGTCTTCAACGTCCGGGTGGCTTAAAATGATGTTCTCAAGATGGCATGGCGAAATCTGCAACACATTTCACATTTCGTATTATAGAGTTTTACTATGAAGATTGGCAAATTAATGACTCATTATAAATTTGATTTTTGTTTAAATATCCGACACCTAAAAACCAGAACAACTCCAGATCCAAAACGCAGTCAACCGACCCAGCCCCTAAATCCGACCACGTCCTACACTTCGGCCCAATGAAACAAGGTGAGGTGAAATGGGGTTTAACGTCGCGTCCAAGATTATTGCACTTATATAGCGACGTGCATGCACGTGTGTGTTTTTGACTGCTTGTACTAGTCCGGACTGATGCAGAGTTATAGTGCAAGGTCACCGAGATTGGGGTGCCGCAGTTTAACATGAATACCCCACTCAGACGAAGTATACTGACTCCAAGCCGACCAGTCCTTTTTTTAGCCCCTTAATGCCGAGCGCCAGACAGGGTAACAACAAGTACCATCTTTTGGTATGACGCAGCCGGGGATCGAACCCCGGACCTTCCGCTCTCCGGGCGGACGCACTACCACTAGACCACCGAAGCGGTCACCCCAATGAAACAAACATGACCTACCTGATAGCCTTTGAACTTGATTATATCCTTCAGTCGGTCAACAATGTAATAGTGACCATCGTCGTCATAGAAACCAAGGTCTCCTGCATAAGAAAATCAAAGATGTCACAGGGTAGTACATCTTCCCGAGACAAGGGAGTTCACTTACTCTAAAATTCCAGTTTCCACCCTTGCCGGACTAGGCTGGAATTCTGAAGTTAAATCTTGGCTGGACTAACGAATCTATGCATAGCCCAATCAGAATCGCGTAACAAACTAGACAACCGGTTCGTAAAAAACGTGGATATCAACGTGCAGATTTCAGTCGACTGGGCGATTTGCAAAGCATGTGTACCGTCAACTGGGCGTCGACAGACAATAATCTTTTCATGTTTAATCAAGGTGCTCAAGTGGTTTGATGCACTTCGCACAGACCCGTTTTATTACAATATAGACCTTGATTATCGATCAGATCGTCTTGACTGGGCGCCGCCATTTTATTTGAAGCAAATGCAAGTGATATGAGAGGTGGAATCTGATTGGTCAAAAGGTGGGATATAGAAGGGACATAACTCGTAATAGCCACTGGTGGCGCTACGATCGAGCCTGGAAATTCCAGCGCAGTTCGGCACAATCTCATTAAAATCAGATCTAAGTTCTCGCTGCCACTAAACAAAGATCTGAGGAGATCCCATTACGGGTCATGTCAGAACGACCTTTCATCCGACCCAAATCTAGTGCCAGTGCTAGTATCACCTGACCAAATCTGTCCAGGCAGCAATGCTTGTCCGAAGCCCGGCCTCGATAAGTGACCCTTTAACAAGCCGTTCCTCCCTACCCAACTCTATTAAAAAAGCTGTGTCCGCGCTTGAAACAACGGTGTAAACCTACATTTGATCACTCTCAGAAGTTCCGTCTGAGCTTCGTATTGAATCAAGACCGCCTCCGTGGTCTGTAGTGGATAGAACATCTGCCAGGAGAGCGGAAGGTCGTGGGTTCGATCTCTGGCCGCGTCATTTTAAAAGATCCGGTAGTGACCCTTTAACAAGCCGTTCCTCCCTACCCAACTCTATTAAAAAAGCTGTGTCCGCGCTTGAAACAACGGTGTAAACCTACATTTGATCACTCTCAGAAGTTCCGTCTGAGCTTCGTATTGAATCAAGACCGCCTCCGTGGTCTGTAGTGGATAGAACATCTGCCAGGAGAGCGGAAGGTCGTGGGTTCGATCTCTGGCCGCGTCATTTTAAAAGATCCGGTAGTGACCCTTTAAAAGCCGTTCCTCCCTACCCAACTCTATTAAAAAAGCTGTGTCCGCGCTTGAAACAACGGTGTAAACCTACATTTGATCACTCTCAGAAGTTCCGTCTGAGCTTCGTATTGAATCAAGACCGCCTCCGTGGTCTGTAGTGGATAGAACATCTGCCAGGAGAGCGGAAGGTCGTGGGTTCGATCTCTGGCCGCGTCATTTTAAAAGATCCGGGTAGAGAATAGGTCTTCAGCAACCCATGCTTGTCGTAAAAGGCGACTGCTCTTGTCGTAAGAGGCGTCAAACGGGATCGGTTGGTCAGGCCCGGTGGCTTGGTGGATGCATGTCACCGTATCCCAATTGCTTAGACTCGATTATTTACAGACCGCCGTCATATAACTGGAATGCTGCTGAGTGCGGCGTTAAACAGCAAACAAACAAACAAACAAACAAACAATCTTGGGTACGGGTATAATCTGTCCTTTGCCATTAAATGCAGTTGTATAGACTGCACATGTTGTAGTAGTCTTTATTCAAGTGTATTGTAGGCCATAGGCCCATGATACAAACGGTAAGTGTACAGTGGAAGTTCTGCACATATCATTATCTTTTTAGTCAACCTCTATACAACCAAACAAAGAAACTTGTTGCTACCCTGCCTGGCGCTCGGCATTAAAGGGCTAAAACAAGGAATGGTCGGCTCGGAGTCAGTATACTGTATCTGAGTGGGGTATTCTTGTTAAACTGCGATATGGTATCTCAGTGGGGTAGCACTATGAAATCGGCATTTGTCTGGACTTGTACAAGCAGCCACACACACGCACACACACACACGCACACACACACGCTTGCACGTCGCTATATACCTGCAACAGTCTTGAAGGCGACGTTAATCCCCATTACGACTCACCACCTAACATTGAACCATGTATGATCACGCACCTGTTCTGAGCCAGGCGTCTGAAGTGAAGGCCGCCTGGGTTGATGTTCTGTTGTTGAGGTATCCCATCATTACTTGCGGGCCCTTCACACACACCTCCCCCTCCTCCCCCGGGCCGAGATCAGCCCCAGTCACAGGATCAACAACCTGAAAACACGACCCATCTTCATCAACAGAGTCACATAGTCACAGACCCGTGAAGATCCGGGGTAGAATAGGTCTTCAGCAACCCATACTTGCCGTAAAAGGCGACTGAGCTTGTCGTAAGCTGAGACTAACAGGATCGGGTGGTCAGGCTTGCTGACTTGGTTGAATCATGTCATTGTCTCCCAATCGTGTGGATCGATGCTCATGATGTCAATCACTGGAATGTCTGGTCCAGACTCGATTATTTACAAACCGCCGTGATATAGCTGGAGTATTGCTGAGTGCGGCGTTAAACAACAAACAAACCATACCAATTACGTGGATCGATGCTCATGATGTAAATCACTGGATTGTCTGGATTCGATTATTTACAGACCGCTGCCATATAGCTGGAATATTGACAGCGCTAGGACTGTCGTATGTCTGTTTCAGTGTATGGGAGTTACGATCACCTTAGCGCTAAGATCGCTTTGTACAACGGCACCCTTGGCCTCGTTCCGCTGCGTCTGTCGTTTGTCTGTTTCCATGTTTGGGAGTAAAGGGTACAACGGCACCCTTGCCATCGTTCCGCTGTGGCTGTCGTTTGTCTGTCAATGTATGGGAGTTACGATCGCCTTAGCGCTAAGATCGCTTTGTACAACGGCACCCTAGGCCTCGTTCCGCTGTGGCTGTCGTTTGTCTGTCAGTGTATGGGAGCAGTGATAGCCTTAGCGCTAAGATCGCTATGTACAACGGCACCCTAGGCCTCGTTCCGCTGTGGCTGTCGTTTGTCTGTTTCAATGTATGGGAGTTACGATCGCCTTAGCGCTAAGATCGCTTTGTACAACGGCACCCTAGGCCTCGTTCCGCTGTGGCTGTCGTTTGTCTGCGTCAATGTATGGGAGTTACGATCGCCTTAGCGCTAAGATCGCTTTGTACACCGGCACCCTAGGCTTCGTTCCGCTGCGGCTGTCGTTTGTCTGCGTCAATGTATGGGAGTTACGATCGCCTTAGCGCTAAGATCGCTTTGTACACCGGCACCCTAGGCCTCGTTCCGCTGCGTCTGTCGTTTGTCTGCGTCAATGTATGGGAGTTACGATCGCCTTAGCGCTAAGATCGCTTTGTACACCGGCACCCTAGGCCTCGTTCCGCTGCGGCTGTCGTTTGTCTGCGTCAATGTATGGGAGTTACGATCGCCATAGCGCTAAGATCGCTTTGTACACCGGCAACCTAGGCCTCGTTCCGCTGCGGCTGTCGTTTGTCTGCGTCAATGTATGGAAGTTACGATCGCCTTAGCGCTAAGATCGCTTTGTACAACGGCACCCTAGGCCTCGTTCCGCTGCGGCTGTCGTTTGTCTGCGTCAATGTATGGGAGTTACGATCGCCTTAGCGCTAAGATCGCTTTGTACACCGGCACCCTAGGCCTCGTTCCGCTGCGGCTGTCGTTTGTCTGTTTCAATGTATGGGAGTTACGATCGCCTTAGCGCTAAGATCGCTTTGTACAACGGCACCCTAGGCCTCGTTCCGCTGCGGCTGTCGTTTGTCTGTTTCAATGTATGGGAGTTACGATCACCTTAGCGCTAAGATCGCTTTGTACAACGGCACCCTTGGCCTCGTTCCGCTGCGTCTGTCGTTTGTCTGTTTCAATGTATGGGAGTTACGATCACCTAAGGGCTAAGATCGCTTTGTACAACGGCACCCTAGGCTTCGTTCCGCTGCGGCTGTCGTTTGTCTGTTTCAATGTATGGGAGTTACGATCACCTTAGCGCTAAGATCGCTTTGTACAACGGCACCCTTGCCCTCGTTACGCTGCGTCTGTCGTTTGTCTGTCAATGTATGGGAGTTACGATCGCCTTAGCGCTAAGATCGCTTTGTACAACGGCACCCTAGGCTTCCTTCCGCCGTGGCTGTCGTTTGTCTGTCAATGTATGGGAGTAACGATCGCCTTAGCGCTAAGATCGCTTCTTGGAACAAGACCATGTTGGTTTCACTGGGGTGATATACTCAGAAATGCGTCAATTCCGATTTTCCTCACATTTTCTTATTATTGAAATACATTTCAGGGCAGAGTGGAACCCAACTCACTCACACATCCACCCACCCACCAATCCACCCACCCACTCACTCACTCACTCACACACCCACCCACCCACCCAACCACCATCCATGGCCATACCTTGCTGTGTGTAAGAGGCAGTGGTATTCCAACTGATCCGTGCTTGAAGAAGCCAGCTGGAGACGCGTGGGTGGCTGGGCTTGCCTCAGTCATGCCATAGCCTGCATGATAGACAAACCAGGTTTAAATACGACGAGGAACATGTATAGTATAGAAGAGCTGCTATTCACATTTTACAAAATGGAAAATAATTACCTACATCAAAACATATGTCGTTTCATGTGTCATAGTTTTCACAGTTTTTCTTGTACACAGGACCCGTGAAGAACCGGGGTAGAATAGGTCTTCAGCAACCCATGTTTGCCGTGAAAGGCGACTATGCTCGTCGTCAGAGGCGACTAACGGGACCGGGTGGTCAGCCTCGCTGACTTGGTTGATGAATGTCATCCTACATACCTGTCTGAAGGTGTGACTCTACATACCCTGTCTGAGTCCGTTCAGCTTGAGCCTATCTATGAAGATTGTTGTGAGTTCTTTGCTGAGAGCCGCCGCGCCCGACAGTACTGTTTTGAAACTGCTCAGGTCGAATTTGTCCACCATTGGGTGCTTGGCCAGGAAGCTTATGACTGTTGGTGCGACTTGGGAAAACGTTACCTGAGACGGGAAGAACAAACAGTGTCACTTGCATACATGCTCACTGGGTACCGCGCAGGAAACTCGTTTGTCCAGAAAGAAAAGAAATAACCCAGGATACACCAGGATTGATGTCCAGGAAACAAATGTTATATTTGGGATAACACTTTCTTAGTCAAGTTCAGATTCTGGTTACTTTTTGGGTTGAGATCGGGCTTCGAACCCACACTGCCAGAGTGAGGCAAATAATCGCCAACCAAAAAGTTCCCAAATACAACACATTTGACCACTTTCTAAAATAGCATTGGGTGTTCATAGCTTTCGGCCATGGGTGCCGTGACAATTGCCGTGCAGTGACAATTTACACTTGTCAGAGTACGTGATGTAGACTACCAGTTGTCGGATTTTTGTGGAAGCCCCGGTGGCTGAGTGAGTTAGATTTAACGTTGTGTGCTGGCAATTAGGTGCCTCACTCTGGCAGTGTTGGTTGGAATCTGTACTTTACTAAGAAAGTGTTATCCCAAAAATAACATTACATTTGACCACTTTCTTAAATGGCATTGTGTGTTGATGCCCTAGGTGCCGTTGTACACAACAACGACTGTCGTAAGTCAATGTTAAGGTATGGGTGTTACGATAACCTTAGCGCTAAGATCGCTTTGTACAACGGCACCCGGGTGCTGAAGGCGTACCCGGTAGTGCTGCGCCGCCTGAAGAAAGTCCACGGGGTTGTATTTGGGCAGCACGACCGTCGGCACTCCTTGGACCAGAGGCAAACACACCCCGAGGACAATCCCAGCTATGTGCATTGTGGGTAGCGCACACAGGGTCACGTCCTGCTCACTCGACAGACGGAGGAACGCGGGATGCCTGCAAATATACAACCTTACTTCAGCATGTAGCGGTCATTTGTGCAATATAATGTTTTTTTTGGAGTGTTCCAGTTCCTGAGCTGACAAAGATCTACTATAGTGACGACGTGATTGAACAAATATACATATCTCTGTAACTGAGATGACAGAGGTCTGCTAGTCTATTAATTTGGCAATGCAGGAGTCTACACGGGTCTTAAGTGATGTTTTGGGGACTTAATATACATCTTACTACCTGAACCTTAAGTTACCTACTATGGTGATTCTTAATTAATTTAAATCTTACTACCAAAGCATGCAGAGATCTATGATGGTTTGCGATTTATACACAATTTAATACCTTAAGTTACAAGAACCTAATTTGGTGTTTTTTTTAATAGAAATATTAATACATTATCCTACGCAGATCTACTGTGTTGCTTTTGCTACTTATTAAAAATGGGACTGTTTGTTTGTTTCTTATTTAACGCCGCACTCAGCAATATTCCAGCTATATGACGGCGGTCTGTAAATAATCGAATCTGGACCAGACAATACAGTGATTGACATCATGAGCATCGATACAATGCAATTTGGATACAACCAACCAACGGATTAACCAAATCAGCGAGCCTGACCACCCGATTACGTTAGTCGCCTCTGACGATAAGTAAAGTCGCCTTTTAAGGCAAGCATGGGTTGCTGAAGACCTATACTACGTGGGATCTTCACGGATCACAAATGGTATGACCTGAGTTGGCTGAGGTCGGATATGATGTTGGTATGGCTGAGCATGACGCCCTTTGGGAGGCCTGTGGTCCCGCTGGAGAAGGGAATCAGTGCCGTGGTGGAGTCCGGGTTGATGTGGATTCGAGGGTGAGATGGCAGGTGCTTGTCCTGCAGCAGGTTGGACAGAGGTCTACATCCGGGCGCCTCGCCTATGCAGATCACCTCCTGGAAGTATTAATCAATCAATCAATCAATCTTTATTGTATGAAAGGCCATTGGCCCATATACACATACAGATAAACAATATCATTTACAGCTGTACAGCGAATTATATAATTATTGGATAACTAATATGATGCTTGACATGTAATAGAGGTATTGTAATAACAGTGGTAATAACCACAGTGGCAGTAGTAGTATAAAATACAAAAGGAATGGAATAGCACAGCACGACGTTCAATACAAAAGAATCTATCAGTAATATACTCATCATGTCATGACAATTTGAGAATTTAAATGTATATGCATTTCTAGTAGAAACAAACAGACAAAAATGAAATGTAGATACTCCTGATCTAGATGCGAAAGTTTCAAAACAACTATTTTTTTCTGGACATATCGGATTCACTAAGTAATTGACTACGCACTCGTAGACTTTGATAGATGTATTGTAATATCTTAGTTAATTTTTTACTAGGGATACCATTAAAAGATAATATTTTGTTCATGGAATAGTGGTTCTTAGTGATATCAGGCATATATTTCAATCTTAGGTTGTCGTAAATTGGACATATAAACAAAAAGTGTAATTCGTTTTCAATATGGTTTTCGCAGAATGGACAAAAACGCATATCCTTAGGAATAGAGGAGAAGCGACCCCTGTTGCACATCAAATCATTTAACCCTAGCCTAAGTTTAATAAATGTGTCTCTAATTTTTCTCTCTGTTATAGTATGCAGGTAAACCTCTGGTGTTAGACAATATTTAAAGGTTTTATAGACGTCGTAGCGTGTACTGTTATCTAGTGACGACCTCCAGTTTTGAGTAAACATATCAATTGCTACCTGCTTAAAAGAGCTAAGAAAATACATTTTGTCTCCAACGCTTTGATTTAGCCAAACATATCCAAATCCGTGAGAGAAGAGTAAATGCTTAATGTTTGATGCCCAGGTTACGTAACCAACGTATCAGAGAACATGGTCAGTCTAGACAGACGTCTACATCCGGGCGCCTCGCCTATACAGATCACCTCCTGGGAGTATCAGAGAACATGGTCAGTCTAGACAGAGGTCTACATCCGGGCGCCTCGGCTGTTCAGATCACCTCCTGGGGGTATCAGAGAACATGGTCAGTCTAGACAGAGGTCTACATCGGGGCGCCTCGGCTGTTCAGATCACCTCCTGGGAGTATCATAGAACATGGTCAGTCTAGACAGAGGTCTACATCGGGGCGCCTCGGCTGTTCAGATCACCTCCTGGGAGTATCATAGAACATGGTCAGTCTAGACAGAGGTCTACATCGGGGCGCCTCGGCTGTTCAGATCACCTCCATCGGCCGTCGGAGTCCGACAAACTGGTGAAGAGCCTGGGTGACAGTTAGACCATGGGAGGATACGAAAAGAAGTGTTCATGATACTGTTACCTGCATTGTTAGATAATGCCAGTGAATTTACCTAGTTATTTCACTGTTTCAGTTATATGAAGGTGTGTTAGCTGTAGAAGAAAATACATGGCATGCTGTTTCCTTTCCATGATTTACATAACGTGCAAGACACCGATGACCGTAGGCTGGAATCCCAGATTCGGGGATGGTCAGCACAATGCCCGCGCTCGTGGTCATCACATAAGTGGTCAACGCTCACTCACATACCAAAAGACGCTAAGAAATGGTACTTCTTTTCATCTCGCATGGCAACCCGGCAACCAGGGGATAAAACAAGGATTGGTCGGAACATGCACGCACATGCGCACGCATGAATTTCGCCATTTGACCCGTGAAGATCAGGGGTAGAATTGGTCTTCAGCAACCCATTATTGTCTAAAGAGGTGAGGGGGCACGGATGGCCCAGTCGTCAAAGGCGCCGCAATTCAGTGGGCAGAGCTGCGTCCCTAGGGCACGCCAGAAACCTATGATTGTGGGTTCGAATCACGGTTCGCCCCGATTATGTTTCTAGGTTTGTCAGCACCATACCCGTGCTCGTGGGTTTTAAGTGGTAAACGTCTGAGACATGCATCACTTCGGGCTTTCCTCCCACATTAAGCTGACACGCCTGATATAACTGAAATAATGTTAAAATACGGCGTTAAAACCAACTCACTCACTCACTCTAAAGAGCTGACAATGCTTGTTATTGGCGATAACGGGATCGGGTGGTCAGGCTTCTTGACTTAGTTGATGCATGTCATCGTATCCCAGACTCGATTATTTACAGACCGCCGTCATACAGCTGGAATATTCCTGAGTGTGGCGTTAAACAACAAACAAAGACTTCGCTATATAAGTGCAATAATCTTGAACGCGACGTTAAACCCTATTGAACCGCCCACCTACTCCAGCGAGCCAGGTTCCTATGATCGTGGATTAGAATCCAAGTTTCGTCGCAGTTATGATTCTTGGTTCAGTCAACATACTCGTGCTCTTGGTTTTCACCGACGTGGGAAATGTGTACGACCTGCATCACTTCGGGTTTTCCTCCCACATGAAGCAGACACGTTGTATGACACTGTTCAAGTTTGCTGGTTTGTTTGTTGTTTAACGCCGCACTCAGCAATATTTCAGCTGTATGACGGCGCTCTGTAAATAATCGAATCTGGACCATTCAATCCAGTGATTGACATCTTGAGCATCGATCCACGCAATTGGGATACGATGACATGCATCAACCAGGTCAGCGAGCCTGACCACCCGATCCCGTTAGTCGCCTCTTACGACAAGCATAGTCGCCTTTTACGGCAAGCATGGGTTGCTGAAGACCTATTCTACCCTGGATCTTCACGGTTCGTATAACACTGTTGAAGGTGGCGTCAAACCAACTCACTCACACATTCACTCACGCACCTGTGTATACGGCGAGAGGCAGGACGCTGCTAGTGCCGTGTCGGCGCAGTCGGGGGTTGTGATCAGGAGTCGGGATCGTGTCTGTCGCAGCTGGGACGCCAGGTCATCTTAAAAAGGAAACAAACTTTCAATGCCTGATTTGAAACTAGAAGCTGGTTGTTTTAAGTGATTATAAAACTGTCAGCTATTGCTTTCTATTGTAAATATTAATTTTTCGCTTATGAAAGTCAGATCCTTAGAACTTCACAATCGTATTTCTGTTATAAACAAGATGGAAAATGGTTAAATGTGAGATCCTGTGCTCACGAATTACCGTATAATTTGTGATGACTCTAGGTGTTCGCGACACAACGACACATATTAATTAAAACAGTTACAACCTTGGATTTGTTAATCACAGAGTACAAGTACACAATATTTGCAACAAACTAGGGTCAAATACCGGCAGTTAGCTGAGAGTTAGCTAAAGACAACGCTGCGCCGTTGTCGGTAACGCTGCAAAACACGTGGGCGATTTCTGGGACGTTGGTGGCATACATGGTCACAATATCTCGGTGACGTAGCCCAAGATGGTAGAACGCTGATGTCAGCGTGTGGATGTCGTCCTGGAGACGGTCGAAGCTTATCCTTCTATCTGTCTTCCCATCTATCTGAGGAGTAAAACACACTTTGCCCATTATAACAGTTGTAGGGAAAGCACTACCGTATTCATTTAGTTCATGCACGCAGCAAAAGTGAGTGAGTGAATATGTTTTTACGCCGCGTTTTGCAATATTCCAGCAATTCCAGCGGAGTACATCAGAAATGGGCTTCAGACATTGTACCCATTTGCATGGGGAATCGAACCCGGGCCTTCGGCGTGACGAGCGAACGCTTTAACCAATAGGATACCCCACCGCCCCACGCAGCAAAAGCTCAACAAGGAATATATAATTTTAGTTTATACTTTTAAGCATCTTAAAATCTAAAGTGTGACGGTTCACGACTACAATCATGCACGCCATGGACGTTTGCCGCCATTTTGACGAGACCAATAAGCACGGGGTATGGTTCTGACGGATCGATGGTCATAATCGGGTCGAACCTTGGATTCGAACGCACGAACACACTGAATGAGTTAGTTAGGTGTAACGCTGTTTTGAACAGTATTTCAGTTATGTCAGCGTGTAAGCTTGATGTTGGAGAAAGGCCCGAAATGAGCCAGGTCGTAGATATGTTCCGTCTTTATAAAACCTACAAACAGCGGATCCCGAAACACTGACGGGGATGATGAACAGTCTCAGAAGCGTCAGTATCGTGAAAAGAGTGAGTTGAGTTGACTTTTACGTGCGCTTTTAGCAAGATTCCAGCAATATCAGGGCAGGGAGACACCCGATTTGGGCTTCACACATTGTACCAATGCGGGGAATCGAACCCTGTACACAGCGTGGCAAGAGAACGTTTTAACTACTAGGCTACCCCACCGCCCTTCGATATATTAAACTAATCCTGATTAGAAGAAGACTAATTTTGACTGAAACAAACAACTCCATTTAATTTGAAAAGGAGCCCCAGTAAGATGGGAGCTGAGCCTGTGGAAAATCTAGACTTGCTTCATTTAGGGCTATATCATTACAATAAGGGCTGGGCGGAGGGGAATATGATATGGTTTTGGGATTCTGAGACGGACTTTATTCCATAGTGCATTTATAATTGCAGCCTTACCAAAGCCGTGTTCTTGGCGTGCTTGCCAGCATCCTGGAGTAGGTAGTCTGCTATGGACAAGTCTTTGGGAACCACCACTCCGTTCTTGTTCAACTGGTCCTCGATGTGACCAGCTGACGAAAATAGTGATACGCCTTGCTTCAAGGGACCTTTCGCCCAGCGACCTGACGTCACAAGGTTGTGAAGCCCACATCCTCTGCTAAACAGAGCCCGCGTGACGTGAGCACGTGGCATCTCCAGGGAGTGTTCTGAAAGCAGTACATGCTGACGTCATGCATGGTCAGCAAAATGTTAAGCACCACGTGATTTAACAGTGAGTGAGTGAGCTGGGTTTAACGCCGCTTTTTACCAGTTATATCGCGGCGTGTCAGCTTAATGTGGGAGGAAAGCCCGAAGTAATGCAGGTCTCAGACGTTTACCAGTTCGGTGAGACCCACGAGCACGTGTATGGTGCTGACAAACCTAGAAACATAATCGGGGCGAACCGGGATTCGAACCCACAATCATAGGTTTCTGGCGTGCCCAAGGGACGCAAATCTGCACAGCGAATCGAGGCGCCTGAGAATACTGGGCCACCCTTGGCCCCCGTGATTTTACAAATGATTGAGTTAGATTTAACAAGTTAGGGCTCTCTCAGATACAGCACAGATTAATGTGTGAGGGATGTGGACGGTGAAACCAACGACGGCGGGTGTTGGTGTTGACAACCGGAGGCCCATTACAATCATGGCGAATATGGGATTCTAACGCGCGATCAGCGGATCCTACCAGACATAAGGGACATAACTCTGTAAGTACAGACGAGACAAATCAACCATCCTTTTTCCCCTTGGCCATATGCTATTCCGGCGCCTGTACGTATTATGACCTACGTTTGGCCTTCTCATCATGGCTTGTTATGTGTTTTGCGCATGATGTCAATCACTGGATTGTCTGGTCCATATTAATTACAGACCGCCGTCATATAGCTGGAATATTGCTGAATTCGGCGTTAAAAATCAACAACAACAAAAACAAAGAAAAAAATGCTGTATGGGCATACTCCCTTCAGTGCAAATAGCTGGGCTAGCCGACAATATAAATAGCTGGGCTATCTGACAATACAAATAAGTATGCTATCCGACAATACAAATAGATGGGCAATACGAACAGCTGGGCTACCCGACATTATACAGTTTCAGTTTTATATCTCTGAAAAACCACCAATGGTGGTACAAGAGTATATATATATATATATATATATATATATATATATATATATATATATATATATATATATACAACATACAATATACAATGCAGATAAAGATGGTAACAAGCCTAAAAAAGACAAATAAAAAAAAAAACTTTAAAAAAAAGAAGAAAAGAAGAAGAAAAAGAAAGAAAATTAGACACCTTAACGTAATAATGTGTTCAAATGTACGATGAATCTAGACAGATGTTTCAAAGTGGATAGATTTTTAGGTGATAACGTTTTACGCAATTTACACATATTTGGCCAGATATAACAATTCTTTGGGATGTAAAGATGGCGTTGTTGGAGAAGTGCTTCACACCTAAAAAGATAGAGAAATTCGTCTCCAACAGCAGATGAATTGCATAGTGTGCAGACACGGTCTTCTCTCAGTAACCCTCTCCATCGGCCGGTTTCAATGGGCAAATGATGATTGGATGTGCGAAATTGTAAAATAGGGCTAGAAGATAGTTGTGGGAAGTAATAGAAATTTTTCGAATTTTGGTAATTCTTTTAAATGTTGGTAGTATAAAACTTTTGAACTTGATAATATACATTCTCGCCACTGTTGAATAAATTGGTTTTCGACCTTTGAAACCAGCCATGAAGTAGAGCAAATAGACGGGTTTATGAATACTTCTGACAGTCAGACATCATTTAATATTTTTTTACTGTTGCTATCCACTTAAACGATTTTCCGTTTGCATCATAGTCTTTTATCAAAAAATTAGATAAAATATGAGATAACTTTGTGGGTCCGTTACAATTCGTTACTTTATGCCAGAAGGAAATCATCCGTTTAAATACTTTAATTTTGAGGGGTTCCCTGCCAAGTTCCCCATAAACCATAAATTGGGTGTTGAATTCCTCAGACCAGTTACTATTTTAAAAAATTTCAATTGCATTTTCTCTATTATTTCTAAATTTTCAAAACCCCATATTTCGGAGCAGTAGAGAGGTAATGGCACTACCATCACATCAAACGCCTTCAATAAACAATCTAATGGTAGGTTAACATTTCGTGCTCTTTTTATTAAGCAGTACATTGCTTTTGTCGCATTTGCTCTTAGTGATTTCATACAAAACACAAGATTTCTATTTCTGTGAAGATTTATACCTAAATATGTATAATTATCAACAATCTCCAGTATCTTTCCCCAAAAATGAAATATTGATTTGGTTGATTTGGCTGGACCCCCTCCAAAGATTATTATTTTTGTTTTTGAGATATTTACGTTTAGCTTCCATTGTAAACAATATTGATTAAAGGAATCTAATGATTTTTGTAATCCAGATTGGGTATCGCTAAATATGACTGTATCGTCTGCGTAGAGTAGTACTAAAATATGTAACCAACTAACCATACTGTGACGTCATTTCCTGTTATACAATCAAATGAGATCCCTTGGCATCCTTCATTCAAAATCATTTAAAAATATTGAAAACAGTAGTGGTGATAGATTTTCGCCCTGTCTAACACCTGACTGACAAGGGAAGTACTCTGATTCTGCAGTATTTGATTGTACCATTGATTTAATATTACTGTACATATTTTTAACTAAAATAAGAAATCGGCCCTCAATTCCACTGTTTTGCATTTTAGACCACAATCCTACTCTCCAGACAGTATCAAATGCTTTTGTAAAATCTATGCACGCACAATAAAGTATTTTTTGACAGTTTCAAAATATGCATCAACGAATGGATAATGAATATATTATCAGCAGTTTGAAATTGTTTCCTAAGTCCCGACTGTGCTGGAGTTAGGATATTATTGGCATCTAGAAATTTTGTCAGTCGTTCGTTTAGGATACTGGTGAATAGTTTTCCGAAACAGCTTAATATCGTAATGGGTCTATACGAGTTTGGATCAGATGGATCGCCTTTATTTTTGAAGATAAGTTTTATAATTCCCGAGAGCCACGTTTCAGGGATTACACCGCATGAGAGTACAAGATTGAAAAAATCCGAATATAGTTTGGCAAGTACTCCAATGCTATCTATTATATGATCATTCACGACAAAATCTAGCCCAGAAGCCTTATTTCTTTAAAGGTTTCTTTGCAGCCTGTATAATTTCTTCAGTCGTTATGTCATCGTTTAAGATTATACAATCATACACCGGTGTTGCAGTTGCACGTCTTTCTTATTCAGAGTCATCAATTTTGTTTTCATTGTATAAGTTTTTATAAAAATTATAGAAGGAATTTATATCAGGAGCTTTCGGATTTATTTATTTCTTACATCCTGTTAGGATCTGCCAAAATTCTTTAGGCGAGTGGTGAAGGTTTTGGCGAAAAGTCTTATTTAAATTGTCTTTATATTTCCGTATAATTTTATCTATACATTTCTTGTAAGCCTTTGCTTCTTGTTGATATGCCAATTTATTAAATACTGTTTTCGATTTTTAAGACGCCTTTTTGCTTTATTGAATTTCTAACGGGATCGTCTGCATTCTATTCCGAACCAAGGTTTATCTTTTTCGCGTTGTCTGTATGTAACACTGTTTTCTCTGACTCCGAATGTTGCGCGTGCAGCGTTAACAAGCACGTGCGCGATTTCATTCGCGAGTCTGTTTACACTCGGCGGGTCGCCGTGACCTGCCCGTGCTTCGTGCACAGTCTTCATCAGTTTATTTATTTGTTCAACATTTACATTTGTTTGTAATGTTTAGGTTTGTTAGCGGCATTTGTATAGATGCATGGTAGGCCTTTACATGAATTACTTACAGGAGGTTTGACTGCGCTAAGTGTAAAGGTGAGAAGGCAGTGCACGTCTGAGTAGAGGGGTGAGTAGTCAATTATATTAAAATCAGAAAAGAGCGGAAGGCACATTTGCGATACGAAAACATAGCCGATAACTCTTTTATCTTTACATGTTGTTTAACATATCATTTTATTATTTCCTAGCCTGCCATTACCAATAAACAGATTTAAATTTTTACAGATTTCAATAACTTTAAAGCCAAAGTTAGTTTATTCTTGCTTGTGCTGTGTTGCTCTCACGCGTGGCAACCCAAGTTCATCGAGCACAGATTCAGGGTTAAGTTCTGATCTAATTTCATCAATATCCAAATTAAATTCATCAATTATGTATTCATCAAGAATTTCGTACTCGCATAGATTATTTGTCCGGGCATTAAAGTCCCCAATTAAAATGACGTGCTAACTTTTTGACATAATATTAATTATTGATTCCTCAATTTCATAAAACGTATCGTTTGTAATATACTTTGATCCTTCGGGTGGGATATAAACAGTCCCCAAGTACAGATCCTGATCAAAACTAAATAGTTTTTACATACTTTAGTCCAAAGAATGTAATCGCATTTTTCTTCAGTAACGGATATATAATCTCTATACATGTGAATTTACTTTTATATGCTACACCTATGCCTCCAGATCGCCTTACAGTTCCCAACCTATTCTGAAGAAAAAGAGTATATCCGGGTATATTTAACTCATCCAAACTGTTTGTTTTCGTTTCTTGAAATCCAATTATGTCCCTTTTAGCTATCAGGTCAATAAATTCCTTATATTCTAGGTGATGTCTGAGGCCACATAAATTAAGACTATTATTTTGGTCTTGATCATTACAGTCACCACCACCACCACCACCATCATCATCATCATCATCATCATCATCGTAAAAGGCGACTAACGGGATCGGGTGGTCAGGCTCGCTGACTTGGTTGATACATGCCAACGATCCAAATTGCGTGGGTCGATGCTCATGATGTCAATCACTGGATTTTCTGGTCCAGACTCGATTATTTTACAGACCGTCGTCATACAGCTGGAATATTGCTGAGAGCGGCGTTAAACAACAAACAAACAAACAAACATCATCATCATGATCATCATCGCCATCTTATCAACAACAACATGTGCAACAACATTGGCATCATTATCACAATTACTGGCAAACTCAGAACCATGATTTACAGCATTTATATTATTAAGTACAGATTTGATTTTCAATAATTTACATGAAATCTTTGCTTCATGGACTGTGTTAAAAATAACTGGGGTACAGGCATAATTCAGGACATCTGTGACATCATTGGTATTAGGTACATCTGTGTTTGCATATGTTTGGGTGAAAATATTAACATCAGTTAAATTGGTTTCCTTATTTAAGGAAACATGGTTATTCAAAATATTTACAGAGTCCATTGTATCATAGACACTGTAAACACCATTTGGTTTGCTTGGTACATTTATCTTTAAGGATTCCCTGGACTCATGTGTAAGTTGTGTGTAGTCTATGGTTTTCAGAATATCGGATAGATTGTGAGCATGATTTGTGTTTTCTGTTGAATTAACTATTACATTTACATCAGAACAATTGTCAAGATTACATAGAGTAGGGACACAGTTAATCAGTGCATTTGAAGAGTTCGCGTCATCAAGTACTTGGTTGACAACATTAGTGTTTACAGTTGTTTGACTTGAGATATTTACCCCAGAGTGTGTATGGTTATTTGGGACAGTCTTAGGATTATTACACATATCTTCTCTGTCAGTAACATTTGGATTTACATTAAGTTTATATTGAATATTTTCTCAGAGTTTTTATTTAGCATGTATATGGTAGAAACATCATTCTCACTCCCCTCTGCATGTACCTCTCCATTGATAAATGTTGTAATTTGAGCACTTACTTCGACATCTGTTATTTTATTACCTGTGATACAAGTGTGATTATCCAAAGCCTCTGCAACAGGCATATCATCACATATATTGTCATCATATCTGTTTTCATTTAATTGAGTTGAGGTATTTACCTGGCCTTTTGGAATATTATCATAATCAACACCATTATTTTCAACAGCTTTGACGTCAATGTCACAATTATCAGTTAACTCTGAGTCATGACCTACAGCTGTTACATTATTAGGTACATCTGTGTTTGCCATTGGTTTACATGACACACTTTCTTCATGAACTCTGTTAAAAGTAACTTGGATACAGGTGGGATAGTTCAGTACATCTGTGACATCAATGTTATTAGGAACAAATGTGTTTGCCATTGGTTTACATGACACACTTTCTTCATGAACTCTGTTAAAAGTAACTGGGGTACAGGTGGGATAGTTCAGTACATCTGTGACATCAATGTTATTAGGTACATCTGTGTTTGCCATTGGTTTACATGACATACTTTCTTCATGAACTCTGTTAAAAGTAACTTGGATACAGGTGGGATAGTTCAGTACATCTGTGACATCAATGTTATTAGGAACAAATGTGTTTGCCATTGGTTTACATGACACACTTTCTTCATGAACTCTGTTAAAAGTAACTTGGATACAGGTGGGATAGTTCAGTACATCTGTGACATCAATGTTATTAGGAACAAATGTGTTTGCCATTGGTTTACATGACATACTTTCTTCATGAACTCTGTTAAAAGTAACTTGGATACAGGTGGGATAGTTCAGTACATCTGTGACATCAATGCTATTAGGAACAAATGTGTTTGCCATTGGTTTACATGACATACTTTCTTCATGAACTCTGTTAAAAGTAACTTGGATACAGGTGGGATAGTTCAGTACATCTGTGACATCAATGTTATTAGGTACATCTGTGTTTGCCATTGGTTTACATGACACACTTTCTTCATGAACTCTGTTAAAAGTAACTTGGATACAGGTGGGATAGTTCAGTACATCTGTGACATCAATGTTATTAGGAACAAATGTGTTTGCCATTGGTTTACATGACATACTTTCTTCATGAACTCTGTTAAAAGTAACTTGGATACAGGTGGGATAGTTCAGTACATCTGTGACATCAATGTTATTAGGAACAAATGTGTTTGCCATTGGTTTACATGACACACTTTCTTCATGAACTCTGTTAAAAGTAACTTGGATACAGGTGGGATAGTTCAGTACATCTGTGACATCAATGTTATTAGGAACAAATGTGTTTGCCATTGGTTTACATGACATACTTTCTTCATGAACTCTGTTAAAAGTAACTTGGATACAGGTGGGATAGTTCCGTACATCTGTGACATCAATGTTATTAGGAACAAATGTGTTTGCCATTGGTTTACATGACATACTTTCTTAATGAACTCTGTTAAAAGTACTGGGGTACAGGTGGGATAGTTCAGTACATCTGTGACATCAATGTTATTAGGTACATCTGTGTTTGCGTATGTTTGAGTGGAAATATTTACATCAGTAATTTTTTTCTCCCTATCTGAGGAAACATGGTTATCAAAAATATTCATAGAGTCCATTGTGTCATAGTGAGTGAGTGAGTTGGGTTTAACGCCGCTTTTAACAGTATTCCAGTTATATCACGGCGTGTCAGCTTAATGTGGGAGGAAAGCCCGAAGTGATGCAGGTCTCAGACGTTTACCACTTCGGTGAAACCCACGAGCCCGGGTATGGTGCTGACAAACCTAGAAACATAATCGAACCCACAATCATAGGTTTCTGGCGTGCCCAAGGGACGCAACTCTGCACAGCGAGTCGCGGCCCGGTAGACGACTGGGCCACCCGTGCCCCCCCCCCCCCCCCCCCCCCCCTGGGTCATAAACATTGTGATATATTCATCTGACTTTGAGGGGGATCTTCAAGACCAACATCAGTTGTGTTAGGCTACCCTGTGATACAAGCATAATATTCAGAAACATCAGCATCTGTGTTGATTTAAACATATTTTATTCAGATTGAAATGGATTGGGTACAAGTTATCCAACTTAGGACTCCCTCTCCATGGTATTTACAAAGCTTGTACAGTAAATCATATACAAGGAAAACAGAAAAGAAGATGAGTGTAAAGATAACAAGAAATGTACAAAAGAGAGAGACTAGTATATGTATATCAAAGTGTTACCCAAATCTCTTTGTATCACTTATAAACAGTTGCACTGCTTTAAAGATGTGTTGATTTTCGATAATGGACAAACATTCATTTCCGTTTAACATCAAATTTAATCTAATTTAACATTTTTGTTCACGGCGTTCTGTAAAATGTCCCGAATTATTATTAACATAGTTTTTCTTTGGTGGACATACAATGGACACTTTAACAAATAATGATATGCGTTTTCACATGGATTACCACATTGACATATTGGATCACATTTTACCTCTATTCTGTATAAATCATAATTTAACTGGCTTTTCATGTATCTTAATCGAGTATGATAAATATTCAACTTTCTAACACCATAGGAAAAAATATGGAGGTGCAATAACTTGCTCTTTTTGTATGTATGTCTTGAATTGGGATGTAGATGTACAATTTCTACCTGCTGCAGGAATAGTGTTCCATAACCTTACAGTTGATGGGATAAAAGAACACGTTGAGTGTTTTAATCAGCAACTGTGTTTACACTTAGCGTACACAATCCATTTACCTCAGCATCATAGTGAGTCCTCTCTGTGACAGCAACATATATATTTACAACATCCACAGGATGCGTGTTTGTATTGGTATTACAGGACATGTTTCCTTCAGCATCCTTAGACTTATCAGTGATGGGGATATCAGTGATGGGGATATCAGTGATGGGGATATCAGAAACAATATGAACAACATCTGTGTTTACTGGGGAATGACATGGTATGTTTAACTGAGTATATTTGGTGTTACTACCTGTGGTAGACTCTAGATGTTCATCAACATCAGTCCTGTTGCAGGTTATACTACACGTCATATTTAGACTCTCTTGCTTTACTAGTTACATTTTCCTCAGTAAACAATGTTGGTGCTTCTGTTCTACCTACATCTAATGTAGACTCCTGTCCACCCTCGCATCTCTAAAGGGGTCCCTGTGACTGGTTCACACGGGTATGTAGGGCCCTATATGGGGGAGGGGCTACTTTCTGAAGATTATTGTTGATATAGAGTTTGTCAACACTGATGACTGCCCTTTTGTTCTGTGACCCAGCCGTCTTGAGCAGTGGCATGAGTACCTCCCGCCTATAGGAGTTTACCTCCTCCGGGAACTGCTCCTGGAAACTGTAGGGCTTATCTCTCCAATTCCTCCCTGTCCTTTTCATTGCGTCTCTCTCAGATGTATACATGAATTTGGCTATCATGGCGTGTGGTCGGGGACGGCCTCCTGGGTTAGCTGGTGTGCGTGGTCGGGGACGGCCTCCTGGGTTAGTTGGTGTGCGTGGTAGGGGACGGCCTCCTGGGTTAGCTGGTGTGCGTGGTCGGGGACGGCCTCCTGGGTTAGCTGGTGTGCGTGGTCGGGGACAGCCTCCTGGGTTAGCTGGTGTGCGTGGTCGGGGACAGCCTCCTGGGTTAGTTGGTGTGCGTGGTCGGGGACAGCCTCCTGGGTTAGTTGGTGTGCGTGGTCGGGGACGGCATCCTGGGTTAGCTGGTGTGCGTGGTCGGGGACGGCCTCCTGGGTTAGCTGGTGTGCGTGGTATATATTGGCTGACGAATTATCCTTATTATTGTATGATGCAGGAGTGTTAGTGTTGTTTAACATATGGGTATAAAACCTCATATCACTGACAAGCATGTCGCAATGGGCAGCTCGCCATTTAGGACTTTATTCAGTGATATTGGAACTGATCTGATCAATATCCTTTATGACCTTTTATAGATCACCATATACAGTAGAGTACAGAATTGTTACGTACCTCGTTGCTGAGCCCCTAAGACACTCCGGTTTCCTAGATTTTAGCACGTTTCCACACACGGGAATTATTTCCATACACCGAGTGTCATCAATGTCTGCGCTGATACCGTAGACTTAAATTCCCATAATACATTGCCACCAACAATACTGGTGTATATTCCAATTAACGCTAATAGAATGCTCACATGTGTCGTTGTAGTGACCTATTCAGTTATCTAGGACTGTGGGGTTAACACTTTGACACAGTTGGGAAATGCGATGTACGTACAGTTGTCACAGAAGGCAAGATAAGCAGTATTCCGATAACACGCCATGAGGTGTGTATACCGACGCGGGCATTTTCCCTTTACGTTATATAGAGTTACCTCTAATTCTTTAAAGCTGCGATGGATTATTACCTGAAGGTTGTAGCAGTATAGTAGAACTACCATATATGTTACACGTATGGGGCCACTGGAAGAGCAGAACGAATCTATAGAAGTTTGGTTAAAGGTTATTTATGGGCCGCTTCTTTCACTTTATTGTCTGGAAGTGGTTACCGTATTTGGCATAATAAGCGCCCACGGCGATATTTGCATATATATTGGCTTGTGAACTATCACAACTAGCACCCTTTCCGATTGATCAATGTACACAAGATATTGTATTCTAGTAATTATGGGCAATTAAATTCTCGAAAATATATCTAAAGTGTATAATACGCACAGATTCTTCTTTTATATCATTTCAGGCTGTCAGCATAAACCACAAAATTTACAATCTTTCAACTCTGTTTTTTATCTCACCAAAATTATATTCTAATAAGAGCCCCCCTATTTCTAATTGTGAGAGCGCGCTGGGTGCTTATTACGTCGAATACGGTAATACGTTTTCATAAATCAACAATGATGTATTGATCTCAAGAATTCGACATAGTTACATCTCAGAATGTTTTTTTTTGGCTGTCTTATAAATGATTTATAAATATAACCAAATGATATTTTGTAAATCACAAATTCATATATATTCAGTGATATCAATAAATCAGTTTGAACATTGTAACCATGTTTTCATTTAATGTTCGATGATAATATATAAAATATAGACTCAGTGACAGCAGCTATCATGCAGAAACGCCCCTGTCCCCCTTCTTTCTCCCCCAATCCCTCCGACCTTCAATTCGAACTTTCCTCCTACGTAAAGCTGCCACTCCGTGGTATAACTGAAATTTTCAAAACGGTGTTAAACTCAACCTAAAGCACGCACTTGTGCACGCATACCGAAAGCATTACATTGCGTTTTTTAAAGCAACGCAACGCATGGCGATTTTCTTTGATACTTCACCCACTCTTTAACGCTATTACAAAGGCTTAAGGTTAGGGACGGTTTGTTACTGCATATATATTACGGAAATATATTATCGCTGTCCAACATACAACTTTGGAAAACCTCTAAATATCAACAAGCATCATAGTGATCAATGGGATGAATAAGTTCATGGATGTTCGTGAAGCTAGATTGTGTAGTGTTCGAGATACGCTCGGGGAAATTAAAGATTACGGACGGACAGACAGTCTGACATACTGACAACTATATAACCCCCCGTCGTTGGGTACGGTGGCCCATAAGGGACATGGAGTCTGTTTTTCAATATTTTGCTAAAATGAAAATGTCAAAAACAAAAACGAAAAGGTGGAATTATTATCATCGCGGTGGAAATATCATCACCGCGGTGGAAATAGTTTTCTGTATTTTCATTTTAGGTTTGACATTTTCGCTTTTGTTTTCGACCTTTTCGTTTTTGTTTTGGACATTTTCATTTTAGTTTTTGACCTTTTCATTTTTGTTTTTGACATTTTCATTTTAGTTTTTGACATTTTCGCTTCACTTTTCAGCGATTCAATATCTTCTTTATACATGATTTATCACATATTCGTATGACAAATCGTGTTAGTTTGCAAAAGGTTACGATAACAAGTGAAAGTGAAGTGAAGTGAAATATCATAATATTGAAAAACAGATTCCGTGTCCCTTATGGGCCACCGTAGTTGGGGGATAAATATCAAGTCAAACATGTTTTCTATAAGGTAATGATGATGATCATCAACAACATCGTCATCTTCAAGTTTTTGTTCTTTTTTTTTGCTCTGATGAATGCCGACAATATGTGCAGTGAACCTCGGCATATATTGTCGCCGGCGACACTACTTGCCGTAACACGGGAACGGTCTCTCGCATGACAGTTTTAAAGTGTAGATTTGTTTTATCATGATATAAGTGCACATGCATATGATGAGTGCACTGTTCGCTTTAAATCACTGTCGAATTTGACCCAACTACGTTCTGAAAATGAACCTGCAAAAAAAACTCGAGGAAAGTATGTATTGGTATTGAGCACGAGGTAACAAACCTATGTAAACGATGGAGAATCTTCATTGAACCTCATTCACCAACTTTTTCCGATAACCGTATTTTAAAAGGCAATACAAGAACTCCCTGCTTAACTGTGAGTTTCCCCTCCGTGATGCACGTGAAATATGTTGCCTGCGCCGTTCGCACGTGCATTTCATTGTTTGGTGACTTTGGTTATAAAATGCTTGTCCCCAGACAAATACACACTTCATGCAGAGCCAACTTTAGCATCAAGTCTTTGAATTGCTTTTTGCCTCTTAAAAAAGGATATAATGTTTCACAGACTGTTGTTATTGAAATATCGAGTAACTACCCATCGACCTACCTATGGTTTGAAGTATTTCAGTCACAAGGAGTCCTATCGGCAAGTTTACAGGAGACAATTCGAACGAAAAAAGGAAGTTTACATTTATTCCAATGATGGCAGTCTGAAACGGACTATAGAAATATGCGCACGTGACTCCGTTATAACGATAATAATGTAGTCTTCATAAAACATCTAATCCACACACAAAAATCATTTTGAGAAAATTCTAGATGTACATCTTTCAATTCATACCATCAAGTCTACGGTATGATAAATAAAACAAAACAGGGATAGGGGTGGTCTCAACAACAAAACTAGGACGTAAAGGATATTAGACAGCTTTGATACAGGGTGATAAGGCGTGCAGGGTACAAGCTTTATGAGCAGAAGGTAACCCTGACTTGTTGTAGAATTTGGGAGGAATTAAATATGCAATTAATGTTAACTGCAGTAACTATTGCTCTCCATGAGATGGGATTTCGATACACTGCGCGTGGCGATGACAGAGCACTTTTAGGGGAAAATATTCTATCCTGTCTATGAGGTGACATTATCTCCGAACCATTCATTACTATCAGAGTCAGGGCGTCTAGATAATTTACCTTGATGAATCATTCCACTGACTACATGTGGCTATCGGCAGATGGACACAAAGCACCCATAGACCATCAGGTAAAGGTAATCGTGTCACTGTTTTGCACGCTGCAACCCTTAATATGGGGCTTATTGATGGATGTGTGCTAGTATTCGAGGCGAAAAAGAAAACTGGTGATTTTCATAAGGAAATTATAGGAGGTGATGTGTTCATAGACTGGTTGGAACTTCAGCTATTGCCCATTTTAAACAACGTCAGTGTCATTGTCATAGATAACGCCAGTTAATATAACGTCCGGGAATCAGATACTGTCGCCAAAACCATGAGTAGTCTGAAGGCGACCATACAGGAATATATGACATTGTCGACTTCAGACCATATGAGACGAAAGTTCAACTCATGGAGAAAATTCGGCTGAATAAGAACCCTGTAAAGTACAGGACTTATGTGCTCGCGGCACAACACGGTCAGGTTGTCTTACGTACGCCAGTCAGACATTGTGAGCTCAACCCTGTTGTGCCCATCTTCGTAAAGGGTTCGTGGCAAGACATAACACAACAATCAAAGGGGCGGTCGGGTAGCCTAGTGGTTAAAGCGTTCGCTCGTCACGCCGAAAACCCGGGTTTGATTCCAATTTTTGGTGTCCCCCGTCGTGATATTGCTGGAATATTGCTAAAAGCGGCGTAAAACCATATTCACTCACCCACATTCAAAAGTACAGATAACTGCTACCTCAAGAAACTATCTGTAGAACAACAAATACTTCTGGATTTCAAAACCGCATCCTTCTAATACTCATCCCGCTTCATAGCTCTTAATTATTCCATCATGTTTCCAAGCAAATACTAATGCAGTACATATCCTTTATTGCTACCCCAACATCGCACATGTCAATATTTTGAGACCACCCCAACTCGGTGACATTTGCACCTGTGAGAATGCACGGGACTTTGTGAGGTCATCACCTCGGGACAGGTGTTAGGTAATTACCTCAGGTAAAAGGCCTTTTCATACATGCATGACAACAGACGAATATTTTCTAAGTTGATCATCATTTTACCTGTAAAAGTACATTTTAAGGGTAATCACAGTGTCAGGTAGGATAGGCGAGATTAGGGGGATTTGCGTTATTTTGATATATGCTCTTTTTATAGTCCTATGACTTACATTTATGAAATGAAGCCAGAAAAGCAGTTTTCTAGCATTTCCGACAGAACTTAAGAAGTGATACGCATAAGGAAGAGAGTTTATGGATCTCAGCTTCTTTATTCTGAGTAGTATGTTTTTCAGATATCTACGTTTATAACGAACACGCTTATAAAGAACTGACGGATATTACGAACTGTTCGTTTGGTTCCGGTCAATTGCTGTATATTTTATATAATATTGATGGATATAACGAACACGCTTATAACGAAATAACGGATATAGCGAACTCAGTTTGTGGCCCCGTGTGTACTCTGTATATACGTACTCCATCTGGTGAGGGGGCGGTAGGATAGCCTAGTGGTTAAAGCGTTCGCTCGTCACGCCGAAGACCCGGGTTCGATTCCCGACATGGTTACAATGTTCGAAGCCCATTTCTGGCGTCCTCCGCCGTGATATTGCTTGAATATTGCTAAAAGCGGCGTAAAACCATACTCACTCACTCCATCTGGTGAATAAATGCTATGAAGCAGAGAACATATATATGTAAGAACAACAAAAGTAATCAGATAACAAAGGTGGAAACCTAACAAGGGAAGCCAACAGTTAATTGGCGCTGATAGGTGATAGCAATGGACAGCTGGAAACAAGGACTTAAATTATCCCTGATTGGTAATGGACAATGGGCAAACGGGAGGCAGCTGCAGGGCGTAATTAGCACCGATAGGTTATAACAAAAGGAATACCTATAGACATTTGGAAGC